TGATAACAGTAAGGTCTAGACCTTACTTTGTAAAGTGTCCTGAGATGACTTTTGTTGTGATTTGGCACTATACAAATAACATTTGATTTGATTTGATTTGATTTGATTTGGTGAGTGCTCCTGCCAGTGTTATTACAGCTCTGACTGTGATAGGTCACTTCACTTATTTCTCTCCACTTGTCTTTGTCTTGCCTGCCTCTGTCTTGGTTTATAGCCTCCCACTGTGCTTTCTCCTTGGGTCTGCGCGTTCCAGCAGAGACAATCTTTTTTCCCCATGTGCGCACAATGCCTTACCTGCTATGTTGCCACTATTTACATCATCAACATCTGCCTATGCAAACTTCCACTCTCTCAGTAGTCGTTTGCTTAATTGTTATGTGTGCTCTGCTCTGCATATGTTAGACTACATTTACTCAAGTTCCTGAAATCCTGTGATTTTATTGCCTTCAATTAAGAAACAGCCTGCCTGCAGCTGGGTGCTTTCTTTTGGGTCCAACCATGCTTCAAACCAAACAGTGACAACACAGTTTGGGTAAGTCTGTCTAATACAGTGTAAATATCAATTGGAAAATGTTTATTATTTAATTACAGAAACCCTGAATTTGTGTCTTAGAATTTGAATGACCAACATCCACAGTATGTTTTCTTTGTCTATACATGCTGATGATACAAGTAAATGTGTTTGGTCTACTTATTTGTGATGCTATACATCATCTAGTCAGACATTTCCAGTACATGACTTATCATTGAATGCCATGGGATATCATGTTACAGCTTGTACTACATTACCACATTAGTCAACTTTTACACTGATGTGACTTTGTATGCTGAATTTAAAATTAGCACCAACGTGCCATTTGCACCAGGTAGAACTATAGTTCGTTCAAACTTTTCATACACAAGCTTTAGCTCACACTGCATCATTAAAGACAGATGTGATTATCGGGGTGCTACAGCCACACGCCACACATATTTATCACTTTAAGGAGATAATTGGGTGTGAAAACCTCAGAGACTGGTGGATAACAAACGAACCACCAGAACGAAATTACTTTCATAGCTTGTTTTGTAACCTTTGATGGCTACAAATAAATTTAACAAGCTTCAAATTAAGTGATGCATTTTGCATTATCAGTGTCTACACAAGGCCATGTCTACAAAACACCGTTTACTGTAAATGAAAACCTAAACCTTTATCACCATATGAATAAATTTAACAAGTTGCAAATTAAATGATGGATTTTGCTTAATCACTGTCTACATAAGGTCATGTCTGCAAAACACCATTTGATGTAAACACCTCATCATTATTTACTGTATAGATATAGATGATGATGATGAATTAAGAGGTGTGAGATGAAGATGCACAATCACTCCCTTCCAGCCTTGCTTATTTATTTATCTGAGGAATTTTTACCATAATCCATCAACAAGCTTTCCACATTAGTGGAACAGTACTTGCCAGAAAATTTGCCGTGCACGTTGCCTTAACAGAGACACTGTGAAATTGAAAAGTAGCTACTGTCTCTCTGGAAATTTCTTTTTGCTATGTGGACATGTTAATGTGCATAATTAACTAATCAGCTTACGGCAGCTGGAACATTTGGCAGCTCAGACTGAAAGCTTCAGCTCCTCTCTTGAAAACATCTTGAAAAATTCTGGCTCAGTCTTGCTCTGTGTAAATTTATCCTGCCAGGTTTGAATTACTTTAGCTTGGAAGTTTCCCAGACAGGTCCACTTCTTGGTGTTTTTCTAGATTTTACAGTTCTTTAACTGCACAAAAGCTCATTTCCAAAGTCTGCTGAAAACTATGTTCTTAACTTGTTAACAAAATGATTACATTAAAATGACTAATCAATATTTGAGTTACTCATTGCTCTGGTGGACATAATCATTAAGCAATGTGCTAATTAATGACTGATGGCATAATGTATTGTTTTAGTCAGTTTTAAATGTCATTAGACTATGGCAAAGTATTTTCTTGAAAATTCTAAACCACCAAACATTCCTTTTCTAACAAACAACTATATTTTTGTATCAGCTAGTGACTCCACTACTATACACGTAAGTTTAATATTTGGTGTCTGTAAAAAGTTTCCCATTGCTTCCACTCCACAGCAGAGCAGTTGTCTTGATTAATAGGAATACTTAATTTGTCATTAAGGCTGATTAATTCCATTAATCTGTAAGGTTTAAAGTCATTGAGTAATGTCACTGAGAATCAATTATTTGCCATGACAACCAGTATAATGAGGACACTGAATGCACATAAGACAACCATTAAATATAAAACAAAATTGGTCAGTTCCCAACAAATGCATTAATGTAAATGTGAAACAGCACAATACAGTATGTAACTCTTAATGTCTACTTTTCAGAAATCAAATATTGTCTATTCCTGTGGGTGCAGAAGTGATCCTTGGCAGTGGAAGCCATTGATTTTCTCACTGTGCCTGTATGGCATCTCCCCTTTCCTGCCTTCACAGCATGCAATATAAAACCACAAGTTTTCCTTTCTCCACAGCAATCAATTGTGCTTAGCCTAGCGTCCCTGGCCTGGATGGGGCCCTCCCTAAGTAGGTGTCTCCCCCGACACACAGCCCTGCATACCCTAACCTTCGGCAAAAAGCTTTCAGTGTAATAAAAAAACATATATGACTTGAGACCCGACAGATCTAATAACGGCCAGACAAGTCTGTGAAACTACAGAGGGCTAACTGTGTCACTGCTAAGGAGGCAATATGTGTGGACTGACTACAGGAGAAAGGCCAAGGAATAAAAGAAATCGCTCTGATCTTCAATTCCCTGAGAAGATGATTCACATCACAATTTCTTCTTTGCTATCAGTTTTACAGCTCGAAGTATGATGTGGTTTCTCGCTCTAAAAGCAAAGAGCATTTATTGCAATTTATCTTAAAAGGGAAAAAAAAATCCAATATATGAAGCCATACGTGAGGGCATACTGACAATGACTCAGTTTGATTGATATGTATCTTAAACTCCATCAGCTCTCATCAATCTCTCATTTGTTAAGCAGACAAGTCTGGGGTGTAAATGTTCACTTAGAGATGTGTCTTGTCCTTTTCAGGAGACATTTTCAGCCATCAGTTACTGTAATGAAAACAAATGGATGGGCTGGTTTCATGGAGACAGAAAGCTTGGGCTGCAGCCAATGATAACAGGGCTACCTCTTCAAACAGAGCAAGTGTGGGCGTTTGATTCAAATAGACTGGCATCAATAACAAAGAAATGTCCACATATTACTGACTGTTTCTGAGAATGGTACTGAGAGCTACTGTAGCTAATGAAAGTAGGGTTTTAAGATATACTTTCATTCACACCTGACACTGCATCCATCATTGAAGTATTTCCATATGAAATATAGCTGAATCGATTGACATGCACTACCCATGTACACACCATAAATTACTATGCTGGGGAGGTAAGAGCTAATACTTCAGCAGAGTGAAAAGCCAGATCCAGTATATGTCGTTTTTGTTGTTCATTTTCCTGCTAATGTATTGATCTGAGCCCTACAGTAGCTGCAACTGATGAGCTCAGGTAACACCTTACCTGTAGCCACTGTGACTGGTCACTGCGTCCGGCTGTCCAAGCATTGACCTTGCCTTGTTTGTCCAAACGGGCCTTCCCAGGCTCCCAGGTGAACATGTCCATGTTGAGCGTCCTAAAGATGCTGGAGGCTGTGACCTGATAGTCTTGGATATGGCCTGACTTCATTCCCAGTGGTTCAGAACAGCCTGGCAACAAAAACAAAAACAGATGAGTTCTAATATTCCTGACTGTACAACCCCCTCTCTCACTGCACACATCAATTTATGATTAGGACTGTGTATATTAGTTGAACAAATCAGTTGGATGAAATAAGCTCAGCTCACTCACCTGTTAACTCACAACCAAGTAGCTCCATGCGTAAGGTGCAATGCCTCCTGCAGACCTGGGGGTAAATGCGCACATATTGGGCTTCAATGGGAGGGGTGAAGGAGTTGGCCGATGGAGCACTGTTATCGACATTTCCTCTGAAAATCTGTTGCAGGAGATGAAATAAGAGCAGATGGCAGCAGGGAGGATGGTGAGTCAGATCAGTTTTGCCATAAGGTAGCAGTCTATCTGGTGCTGTCTCTAGTGTCTACTCCACATTCAACAAATTGCTGTCATTCAAGGTCAACGAGCTAGAATTACAGGGAAAAATTGACTATTTCTTGCACCATTTGAGCCCATAATTCGTAAGAACAGTGACGTGGTTTAAATTAATGCTTCATTTGCATCGCCGTATCTTCTAGAGTGTTTTATCCAGGTGACCTGAGATAGTGTGATAGAAACTCTCCCTGAGGAAAAAAAAGACAATGATCATACTTCAAACACACTGACAGGTCCTATGATACAAGTCCATGTCTGCTCATACAATTAAAACTCACACCTGCAAAACTATTATATGCAAAATTACATCCAATCAATACTCTTGCTCTTGCTTTTTCTATGCCAAATTTTGAGGACTTTATACTAAAAGAAGATGAAAAAAGAGATCAATTGCATTACAGAATATTCAAGTCCAGGCTTATTGTTCTGTGTGAGAAAAAGTTTGGATGCCAGGGTCCTTGGGGGTCGGCCAAATGGAGGACAGCCATGGTTTGCTGTCAGGAGTGATAGAACACTATGTGTCCTATTTGGTGGCTCTTCATCCCCAAATAGTATAAAATTCAATCTAGAAGTCATAAAAGTGAAGGGGGGTGAGGGGCAACAAGATGGGTCCGGTGTGTGTTAGCTAATTAAAAAGCCATCTCATCATGTCCTCCATCCTGCCCTTGACTGAGTGCACGGTCTCTAGTCACCATGTGTGCATGTGTATGAGTGTGTGACTTTGTCTGTGTGTTAGAGTGAGAAGAGTAGAGAGATGACAACCAGTGCACATGCCTGTTTGTGTGCCCATATGTGTGTCTCACCATATCCTCATCTTTGCCTTTGACTTTGTATGTTCTCCAGGTCTTCCCGTCATCACTGTAGGCTACTTTGTAAGACTTGACGTACTCTGGGCTGCCAATACGCTTTGCACCCTGGGTAATTAGGCCTGTTACCCTCATTCGCCTCTGTAGGTTGATCTGTGGAGTTAAAAAAAAGGCAAGAAATTGTACCTTAATTTCCAGACACTGGCATCTTTGTCTGTGTTTGACCCATGTAAATCATGGGAATCAATGCCATTGTATCAGTTCTGTCTGGGCCATCCATCTTACTCAGAAAGTCTGTGATCTAATGGAACATTTAATCAGTCCTCATGCTCCAGATCCTGCATAGACTGCCAATATTGTGCCAGTGTAAACCAGCTTGGAGATGTAATAGGAAAAGAGAAAACTAAGAAAAAGGAAACTGATGAATGCTTCTATAGATCCCAGTTAGCGCACGCAAACAGTTTGTTACAGTATTTAAGGACAATTGATGTGTCACACTCTACTTTAAACACAAAAGTATATTTGCTTTTAACTATGATTTTGAACGCACACCATCGCCACCTCACAAATCCTGCGTACCTCTGGAGTACTGGATGTGCATGTTAATTAACGCTACATGCCCATGAGGTACAACTCAGCACATGACTGGTACAGGCAGCACGTAAAATATTTTCTGTGCTGTCATCTCAACACTGACAATACTGTAACTTCACTGAGTATTGCCAGTGCTTCTATTTACTGTATGTCATGCAAAAGCATACTGTACGTTCACAGGGAAGATATTCTATTTTCTCTGTTTTGTGTTTCCATTTACTTTTTAATCCTCACGATACAATGATACAATGAGCACATCTGAGGAAACGTTTCCACATAGTTTACTCTTGAAATTTAGCAACAGTATGTTTGACAGGGTTGAAATTGCAATTAGTAGGTAGATGTTGCTATGTTTATGTTTGTTTGCATGCCAGCATACATACCTGTATTCATTGTTAGAAATTTACAGTTAAGTGATAACTGTACTATTTGGTCCTTAAAGATGTGAAGTGCAAAAAAAAAAATAGCTTTGATATTATATTTGCTTGTGCCTGCCAACTGTATGGTCAAAACTGTAGCCAGCATTTATGATGCACATCAGTGATCCCTGCTACATGATGGCTCCTAAAGGGTCCTTCTATAAAGGGCTGGAATCTCACCCAAAGCCATTTGATATGATAGCCTCGATAACTAGTTTAACATCTTCTAATGAATATCTTCCTTGCAATTAGACAAAAAGGCAAAGGTTAAATAACAATACCTAAATCATTCATGTTTGATTGACAGGAGTCTCAGCCTGTCACATTGATGGCAGCTGATGCTTCCTAAGTCCCACCCATCACCTGCATTTCAACAGTATGCCTCCAACTGCAGAATTACAGCACGCTCCATAGACCTACGAGCACTGCCACATCTATGTTCTTCTACAGTCTTCAACCCGTCATTTATGGGTTGAATAGTATAGCGCATCACTGTAATTTTGGTGAACCTGTTTAAAAATGAGAGAAGTCCCAGAGTTCTTTTGTTATTTTTCTTAATAGCTTTTGGCAGCTGAGGAGTGGTTCTGTCTTGGCTTACTCACACACTGTACTCACAGGCACACACACACACACACTGCCTTTTTTACAGTGAATTTTAATACTGATTAAAAAAAATAAAGTAGGGTAGGATAACATGAGTCAATTTCAGTATTATAACGCTGTAACACACCTGCGGTATTCTGTGACAAAGAAGATTTTGGAGTAATAAGTGATGACAAATATTCATTGATCATTTTGGCACTACATGCACACAAAGCTGCTTCATTTTCAGGAAAAATGGCACTTTGACTGATCTAGCTCACCCTCTGACAAAACATAAAAGCAGAGCAGAAGGACTGCAATAAATACTGTTTTGAGAGAATATTAAGCAAAGGACCATTAACCTGGGATGGCCAAGCCCAAAAACAGAAATGCAGACTACAGCAGAATTGGAATTCTTCAATGGAGTGTACTAGATTGGCTCCAGGTTTTCTTAGTTTTCATTTTTAACATCATGCATTCTAAGCAACACAATCCATAATTTAATGAGATATTGCAAACAATCAAGTCTATATCCCAGTTCATGTTTTTATTTAAGAACATGAATCATTTTAAAGCTGATCCATGAGAAATGGAAGTCTAACTTCACTGACTATGTGATCACATTCAGAATGGCATTCTGGGGACTTGAGCTCATTTTCTGGTGCAGAAATGGTGGTATTACTATGAAATAAGGCAATTTCCAAGTGAAATATTTGAGGGCAAACACTCAAATAGATGGGCTGAGCTCACTAAGTTATACTCTCCTTTTGTCTTAATGGGAAAAAAAACTTCTAAATTGTGCCTGTTGATGACATTAGAGATTAAGAATATTGTCTTTTACAGATTAAGCAGAACAAAAGAACTGTATTGTCAAAAATAATGGAGTAATGTGTAATAACTTTATTGCAGCATGGATTTCCTTTGTAATTTTCATTTGTAGAGACAAGGCTCAATTACTGTAGTGAACATATATATTTTTATCTACATACTTAAACCAGCGTAACAAGTTAATTATATGTAAGGATCCCTCTTAGAGGTGCAATGACTTACTCTTTCTCATCCACTGCATTTCGTCGCTCTCTTCAGTTTCTCCATAGAGATAGATAGTTCTTGCACTAATTAGAAGCTCTGTCACTAAAAGGCCACTGCTGGGGTAATTGGGGTGATCCTTCACATTTTTAATGACCACTCAGAAACACACCACTGTCACTTCAGCGCTAATAGTGATGCATTTATTTGTTTGAGTGAGGAGGCATCATTGGAAACAGTGTGCAGATCTTTGTCCATAAAGCTATATGTGCCAGTTTGAAAGAGAATGCCTCAGTGCAATAGACAGTTAACCTAAATCACCTGAAATGCATGCGTGAGTGTGTAAAGACTACAGCGAGAAACACAAATAACACCACAACAAATTGAATACGTTTGTATGACTCATAAATGCTTACAGTTGATTTGTTGATTTACCACTTTCCTGCAACTACAGTATGTACAACTGTTTCAGAAACTGTCACAATTCTTGAATACATTTCAATTGATATAACACCTGAAACAGAATTACCACAGTTCAGACTTTTTTTTTTTTTTTGCGACTATGGCTATTTTATGCACATTTTGTGTCTCCTTAGCAGATGTATGCACTTTAGACACTTTGTGCAAAAGAGAGCTAAATGTAAGTTTAGGACAAACTCTTACTCTTTTACCATGTCACCCTTTCCCTTACGAGACACAACACAGTGACTTGTGTATGAAGCGTTCCAGGTAAAATGTACACGCCAAGAACTTCTACATAGAATCATTTTTATTCTCTCACTTCATTTGTAAGACAAAGAAAATACCACTTTGGTTTGTATTAAGTGACTTAAACTGTTTTTCTCTGAAAAACATTCACCACAGTGAATAAATGTTCAGCATGTAACCAGCAGAAATATCTTGGAACTATGACCTGTAGTTGTAGTTCTTCAGGAAACATGATTTTGAAGCACCCCTAAGCTGTTTGGAGCTGTTTTCCTATTCTAATCCTTTATGAAATTATCAGTTATTTTATGACATGGTCCTATTGACACAATTAGCTTTGATTTTCCATTTGTTGTTTGAGTTCGCAGGTATAGCTAAACAATCAGTGGTTGAAGAAGTTCTCAGATCCTTACTTACTTACTTAATTAATGGTCCTGTAGAAATTCCACAGTGCAAAACTCTGTCACAATTAAAAGTCATGCATTCAGATTTTTACTTAAGTAAACTATTTACATCATGTACAAAATGGCACATTTCAAGATTTTGTACATGATGATATTGGAGTGTAATTACCTATTGTGTATATCACTTTAAAGCTGGTAAAGGTGAAGTTAATGTCAACTACCTCATGTACTTCTAATTTGAATTACTTACAGGGTAGTCAGGTAAAGTACAAATAACTCAAATACAAATAAAAACATCAGAACTTGAGTCAATGTACTGAGTTACTTTCCACCACTCTATAGTACTGGTGACATATAATGCCTGGGACATATATGTTTGTTTCTGTAGTTGCTGTAGCTGATTCAACTTACTGTGTTGTTACTGTTATGTCATAACCTGAAAGCCCTCAGCCAAATACGGAAGAACTGAGTTTCTTTATACTTTTCATTAAAGCTCATTAATCCATGTTTAAAGAGTCAAAACATTTATTTACTGACTGTAGAAAGGCTACTTTCCAGTCAGTTATGCTGCTAAGCCCACCAAATACCAAATTACCAAATATAATCATACCAACAGATCTCACATGCACACACATACAAAGGTTAAGAACACATACTGAGAAAAGACACCCAGTGTGATTACACATTACTATCAAAACTGCTGAGAGAACTGCAGCAGTACTGTAACAATTAGACTGTCCTTGGAAGTACCTAACAGCCCTCTGGCACTGCTGTGTAAAAATGCATTTGAACACATATGCACACTCAAAGACATGCACATATTTAACAAGCCTTATCTCTTAGTGCAAAAAATAAAGTACTGACAGTGTTACAAATCCACAGTAATAGCCAGTGATATGCAAGGATGTTATCACTGTGCTTGGTCATGGGGGCACCTCAAAAGTTTAAATGATTTGAAACGGTGTGAACAAAAAGGCCAAATCTAAACACCACTGAGACCAGAAATAGGCAGACCCCCTCACTGCCAGTGATTTGAACTAGGTCTTCACCACAACGATGTTAGAGGTTATATTACTCACAGTGGACATCAGGTTACAGCTCTCAGTGCTAAAGGTGCTACATTAGGTGTAAGCTTGACATGCCTGACTCAATAATCTAAAAATAGGTCCTGGTGAGAAATCTAATGTATTCAGTTCTAAAATGTTCTGTAAAAATGGAAGATAACATTGAATGTAGTGCCGTATATGTATATCCAAAGCTTCATTCAATTACTGTTCATGTTCATGCTGTGATTATAAAATAAGCTGTGATAGAAAGGCATTGTCAGGGTCACATCTCAAACAACACACAACCAAAGCTGCACAGAAAAAAAACGCATAATTAGAGTCTAAGCTAGTTTTATTTATACATATTGGAACATGCCAGCAAATGTGAGCACACTGATGGAAATCTGCATCATTGTGTCATTAACTGTTTAGCTTCCATTAAATCACATATAAACCCTCTTAGCCTTCACAAGTGATTTAGATTATGTCAGTCTTCCACCACTGGAGCTATTTTTTTGTTGATGTTGGTCAGACCGGCAGCATATTTCCCTCGAGTGTTCAAATGCAATTTTATGTGCGAGCTAGTCATGGCGAGATTGTAAAAAACTGATATTTTCACAGCGCATAGTTGTGTGAACAGTAGCAAGCTTGCGCACACTCTCAATTTGCAAACACACAAACCAACAGAAAGACAAACAAATACACATACAGTATAGTGTTTGCATACTTTGTCTGCAAATGTATGATGTATTATTCCAGTATGTTGCTCTATGTTTGATTCATTCGGTGAGGTTTAGGGAGACAGAACTGAAACTGGCTCACATCCAAAGACACATACTGCACCAGAGAAATCCTTACAAAGAGCCAGACAAATCTGATCTCCCTCCTGATAGGCTTGTCATCTGTCAGTGTAACCTGTCTCATATGGCAGCCGTGCAAAGTCATGCTACATCACTCTGCGCTTCAAAAGCACACCATCAACTCCTTAGCATAATCCGAAATCCCTGACAGGACTGCAGACCTGTGTACTCACATCCCAATTATACAGGCCCTCTGTAGAAACACACGATGCCTGCAGCATCCTGTGCAACATCCCACGTGGCTTCATTAAAGTCAAACAAACTGCCTGATTGTTTCATGTTTCGTTCTCCTCACCTCTCTATGTGCCAGGCTCCTTTTCCTTCACTTGTGTCTGCTGTTTCTTTGACTCTTTCTCTTTCTTCTTTTTTCTTTTTTTTTTACAAATCCATTTTTGTCCTTCCTCTCTATTCTCTTATTGTTAGGTACAGTGCATCTTCACGTTTTCCATCATTCTGTCACAGTTTAGTATGCTTTTCTATTATATTTTTTTCAAAGTTCACTGCCCGCACAGCATGTATGCATGGATGACAAATTTAAAAAATAAATCAACATAAAGTACTTTAGTAAAGTGTTGGATCCCCACATTTCAGTAGAACAGCTTCAGTACACCTTGGCAGTGATTCTACAAGTCTCTGAACTCTACACCATTCTTCCAAAAGATATTCCATTATTTGGCATTTTGATGTTGGTGGTGGAGACACTGTCTAACACATTTGTCCAAAATCTCCCCTAGGTGTTATTATCATACATTATCATACTATCTGGAATACAATCTACAGCATGGGACTGGAGCAAGCCTTGGAAGAGAACTAGAGTTGAGGGCAAATGTATATATCATAGCTATACATCATCTGACAGTTATTTTATATGCCACAATCTTTGCAGCACAGGAGTTTGATGTATGACTAGTTGGTCAACATAAATCCAGAAAACCAGCTCTACACTAGTCTGTGTTCATATACTGGAGCCAGATCACTGCAGGTAGGGTGCTGAATTTTCAACATTGCTTAAATCACTGCCTAAAGCAATGAGACCTACTACAGCGCTTCTTTGGGTTGAAATTATATGTGGGCGACTACACATAGAAAATTATTATATAGGATTGAAACAGGCACAGAAATAAGAGCACTGGGATCTGGGTGAGGCAGGCATGCAAGAACAGAAGCTTGGGATGTGTTGTGCAGAAATAATTCACCAAGCAATCTATGGTATTGATCTCTCTATGTAGCTCTTTGACAATAAGCACTGACTAATGGCACAGCATGAAGGTTAACTTCGACACAGCCTAAGGGAGAGGAGAGTTGCATGTATTATATCTTTGCTGCTGTAAACATCTCATTTCTTTTCATTTCACAATTCATAGGGTTGTTACTGTATAGATAGAGGTGCCTAGGTGGCCATAGAAACACTCTGGGGTATTTACAAAAAGACAGCAAGAGCCACTTAATTGTTAAGCTGAATTCAAAGGCTTTTTTTTATGGATAATAGGAGCATTACTGTTAATATTACCGCTGAGTGTTCTTGTGTAAAATTATACATCAAATCTCCCTCTAGACAGCTCAGTCATTTGCATGTCAGAATCTATATAAGACATAACAAAGAAAAAAGCATCTGTGCCATGAATAATTACAACACTGTGCACCATAGCTTTGCTGCTTGGGAATCTGCAGTAGAAGTGCAAATGCAGTTACGACTGTGAGTGTGTCACAAATAAATGTTAACACAAGAGATGGCACAGTCGAGTAACTGTTAGCAAATCATCACCACAAAGTGAGATGCACCAGCCACTGGCGGAAAATGATTATACCCTCTCACACTTGAATACACCTACACCTGTTCTACCCCAAGCTAACACTTTTTATTGCTCTTTATTTCCATTAAGTGAGCCATCAAGTTTACAGTACGTGTAATTAACTTTAAAGTTAAAACTGTTTTTTCACAGTCAACAGTTCGCACAAACCATCGACTACAAGCGAGTAACATTTTATGGTGGGGAGCTTCATTTGTATCTGTTGCCAAGTATATGCTTTCAGTTGCATGTTATAAGAGTGTTGCATGTTGCTTGTCCTGTCGCTGTGCTTTACCTGGATCCACGGCCATCTGTCATTTTCAGCTGCAGTCCAGGCATTGACCAGGCCCTTCTTGTTGAGGCGTGCAAAGTAGGGATACCACTTCTGCAAGCCGAAGAGAGCACGGTGGGTAGAAGAGGCTGTTATCTGTTGGTTGGAGATTATACCGCCCTCCATGCCCAGCGGTCCAGAGCATTCTGAATGAAGAGAGGGAGAAAGAGACAAATGAGCCTTCATATAATTCATATAACTTAAACATGCATGCAACTCAATCTATGGAATTAATTTAGAGTTTCATACATACTACAAAGAATGCATTTTGTAATGTCACTGACTTTGTCCTTTACATCCTCTTTCATTTTTCTTTTCAGCGTCTCCATATCAGTCGATATCTGTTTATCTCTGTTTCACAGATGGAAAACTCAGTCTCCTCTACTTGTACTACAACCAGACAGTCATTAAAACTGCAGCTTTTCACTTTCTGTTATATCTTTGTGACGACCTCCTACAGCTACATCTTCTTTAAGGGCATCATAGATTTCTTCACCCTGACTCTTTCCTGTCTTACTATACAGTAAATGTTGCTTTGATTCATCACAAAAAAACCCCTAATGTTTCCATTATGGCAAAATCCTTTTGAGTCAGAGCTGTCAGCAAGAGGACTTCTCTCCGCCTTCATGCTGTCCACATCTGAGGGACTAACAGCTTGCTCTTTCATCTCTTCCATCAGTAACAGAGCCCTTAGGCTTCCTCCCAAGGAGATTCGGCCACTTCTCCACATCTCAGAGTCAACAATCTTTGTAACAGCTCTAAATATCCTACAGGTTGCAGCATTAAAGTGTTGAGGCACAACAGTGATATTTTGTCCTTTCTTCTTTAAGCAGCTTGCTGCCCTTCTTAATCCTAATTGGTATGTCCAGGCACATCAAGAGCATTTTAATGGAAAGACCAGTGGTGAAAAGGATTCTGGCAATGTTTATCCAATAGAGAATTAATTTTGATAAACAACAGCTTCTTTGTGTTTCTATTTTTAAAAAAAAGCATAACGAGAAATTAAATAATAATAGAAAATACATGAGGAATGAAATGCTGTCAAACATATGGAAAGAGGGTGTGTAAGATAATAAATGTAGCACATGCTCCTCAAATGAATTTTTATAACTATTCTTATTCACACAAAACTTAGTTTTCTATCAAAACACACACACATAACAGATTTTGTGCCCTAGAACAGAATCAATTATGATGTGGGATGAATGCAAAATATATAGTTTTACAATGATAAGCTAAGTCAGCCGGTGGAAGGCATCATCATTGAGGATTCAGGTGTGGCATCAAAACAGCCTGAACAGTTCTACCGCTGTTGACTTGCTCCACACAGCTGTGGCATATTGTCCTCAAAAATGAATCAGATGTGACGGCAGGTCTTCAGAATCCTTCGGTTTCAATAAATTGCTTTACAAAGTTGTGGCGCAGCAATTAAACTCTGTCCATTGGACATCAGTCAAACCTCAAGTTGTACAAAAAACTTGGAAAGTGGTTTCCCATGCTGTATGAGTTGAGGAAAACAAAACAACTGAAAGGTGACACAGAGTCAGTTGGAACTCTCTCTCAACAATGAGGACATAAAGACCCCACATCATTATATTTCTTCTAGCACACAATGTCTCTTAAGCATGAACACCAGTACAGTAGCTGTATTACAGATGTGCTAAATTAGTTATGACAGATGTTTAAGTTTTAATTAGTCAAGCTTATAGCTCACTAATTGCATGCAAGAATATAATTACATTTGTGTCAACTGAAAGCATATACTTGGCAAACAGTAAATATAGGGAATTACAGCATTAAAGAAGTTTTTGTTTTCAAATATCCTTCCTAATTGAACATGGCTGCAGTGAACACTATATAATTTTGCAGCAATGGCTTCTCAGCCATGGTACCTTTTTCACTGTATAAGGAAAAGTGGATTGACAGTATTTCAGCTATTTATGGTCTGACCCAATAAAAGATGAACCTCTAGAACAGTTAACACTGACTAAATGGTTTGACATGTCTGAAGAGCATTTTAATGTCCTCTTTAATAGAAACTACCTAAACCTCGAATGTGTAGCCATATAGAATTTAACTCCCTCTATCTGTCTTATTGTGTAACAACAGTATAGAGGGATTCCCCCTACTCTGTTTTTGGTGGTAATGACAACAGGGATAAAAGAGAATGGAGTAATCAGAGGACACCAAATGTATTATGCATCTTTTTGTGAATAGTGGTGAATCTGATTAAAATTTAATCAACCCTTTTGATTTCTCCAGTTAGAGTGCCTGGTCACAGATGATTAAATAGCTGTGTGCAAGAGCCTGAAAACCACAATGTAGGAAGTGCTGAGGGAACTTGGATGTGTCCCAGAAGAGAAGAGTGATGCCAGAGGCGCCGCTTGCTCATGCTGGCTGAAGTCTAAGTGTCATGTAAACCAGCCTTCAGGGGAAGCCTGAAGCAATGGTCACCAGGAGGTTGTGATGCTGTCCCCATTTAGACAAAACACCTAAGCATTTCACTACTGAGACACAAACAGACAAGGCAAACACACATACCAGCAGACAATGACAGTGGCAGTGCTGAGAGCTGAGAAGACTTTTGCCACACATGAAAGCCAAGAGTCAGAGAAGTATGGAACAGTGAAAACAACCCTAGTACGACTTTTACAGCTGCAAGACTGGGGGGGGGGGTCCTTGGCACCAAGGGCCCAGGGAG